GGGGAACATCTTACATAGAACAGAGCCTAAGTTACTTAATTCTCCTCGTTTGGTTTTGCAATATTCACTGCGTACTAGATAATGGAACCAACAAATTCAGCTTAAATTGAACAGACGTATATAAGATATTGACACCCAGTGATGTTGTCGCTTAACCATTTCCCCCAAGGTACATGCTTTAGCAAAACAACACTTAAACAATAACATAACTTTAAAAATACAATGACAAAACACTATACGAATAGGTAAGATATGGTATGATGGAGTTTTATACTCTTTGGAGGAAAATAATCTGTGTTTTGTTACCTTGACTAGTTGTCCGATTATACCACTAATAAAACTGTCCCACTGTACTATATCAACCACTTATCAGGTTGTCCCAATATACAGTTTTTAATCCTATTTCCTCCATATTGTCCACTTAACGGTTGTTCCACAAAACAGCCACCGCTAATCCGACCGTCCTGTTTTAATTCTACTTCTTCTATATCATCCACTAATTCCATTGTCCCATTATGCAGCCACCGCTAATCCAGTGGTCACAGCAGTTGTTAATCCTTTTTTCCAACAATATCATCCAATAATCTTGTCCCACTTTACCAAAATCACTAATCCTATTGTTCCACTATACAACCACCACCAATCCTGTTGTCCCACTATACAGCCACCACTTATCCTGTTGTCTCACTATACAACCACCACTAATCCTGTTATCCCACTATACAACCACCACTAATCCTGTTATCCCACTATACAACCACCACTTATCCTGTTGTCTCACTATACAACCACCACTTATCCTGTTGTCTCACTATACAACCACCACTTATCCTGTTGTCTCACTATACAACCACCACTAATCCTCTTATCCCACTATACAACCACCACTTATCCTGTTGTCTCACTATACAACCACCACTAATCCTGTTATCCCACTATACAACCACCACTTATCCTGTTGTCTCACTATACAGCCACCACTAATCCTGTTGTCCCACTATACAACCACCACCAACCTGTTGTCCCACTATACAACCACCATTTATCCTGTTGTCTCACTATACAGCCACCACTAATCCTGTTGTCCCACTATACAACCACCACCAACCTGTTTTCCCACTATACAACCAACACTTATCCTGTTGTCTCACTATACAACCACCACTAATCCTGTTATCCCACTATACAGCCACCACTAATCATGTTGTTCCACTATACAACCACCACTTATCCTGTTGTCCCACTATACAGCCATCACCAATCCTGTTGTTCCACTATACAACCACCACTAATCGTGTTATCCCACTATACAGCCACCACTAATCCTGTTATCCCACTATACAACCACCACTAATCCTGTTGTCCCACTATACAGCCACCACTAATCCTGTTATCCCACTATACAACCACCACTAATCATGTTGTTCCACTATACAACCACCACTTATCCTGTTGTCTCACTATACAACCACCACCAATCCTGTTGTCCCACTATTAAGCCACCACTAATCCTGTTGTCCCACTATACAACCACCACTAATCCTGTTGTCCCACTATACAGCCATCACTAATCGTGTTGTCCCACTATACAACCACCACTAAACCTGTTGTTTCACTATACCGTCTTTCATAATTTTCATCCACATTTATCTCCCTATGTAGCAACCACTTATTATCCCTGTAGTCAAGCATTTCACAAACAAACCTATTGCTTGAAATATAGGAAACCAATACCTCACCCCTCCATTGTTGTTATTCATTTGTTTGTCGCGTGGAGATAGAAAGGAAAGGGCGTTCTTTGAGCTAAATAATGAAAATATATAATGAATCAATAAAATGCAAAAAATACAAAAAAATACAAGTCAATTATGTTAATAAACATTAAAACGATCTGAGCTTGTTCTTTGTCAGTTTTTCATTTTTTATTCTTTATGTTTTCTTTCACTCAGGTTGAGGTACATCGATTTCATAGATTTCCAATTGTCTACGTTTTCCGGACGGATGGCGAATGAGCCCAGTTACCGGTAAGAAAGAAAACAGATGAGATTATTATCATTTTTCATAAACATAATATTCACAGATCCATTTTTTTGCAATCACAGTAATATTCTTAGATCCAAATTTCTTATTTTGGATCTTTTGATCTCTTTACTTATAAGTAATCTCCATGTATTTATTATACTTTTGTATATAAAAAGTTAACTTTGAGTTTAAAACACATGGGTTTTATATAAAAAAAAAAAAAAAACATGATGAAAACACGTTCAGGGGAATCATAGAAAAACATCATTAACTTTTACGGAAACAAAACGTAAATGATGAACGTAACACACAACATACAGGTGATTGCCCCATATGGAATAAGGTAATAAATTCAGTAGGTTACAGATAACACTGCATCATACAGCTGCTTCGTACTTCTAGGGTTCATCGGTGATTTTAGCGGATGGGAATCCAAATTGGTATAAACGACAGCCAAATTAGATGCGGAAAGTGCATAAAACCTATCATTTATTATGAATATAGAAAATTGAAATTATACTTGTTAATCTATTAAAAATGTTTAAATGCATGTAATGAACCGTGAAACTCCAAAATATATGATTGCGGCTGCATGCTTCAAAGAAACAAAATTATTTACAGTTACGCGTCTCAGCTATGATCTAATAGTGTTTATTTGTGTTTATTTATTATTATTAATACTAATTGGTTGGTTATATTTTTGTCAGTTGTTATTTTTGAAATGTTTTTTTTTTTTTTTTTTTTTTATCTTATCCCATTCCTTCATCAACATAAGAAATAACTAATCATTAGTATACTTTTTTTGCCTTACTACGGAGAATATGTATTTGTACTTTTTATATTTCTCTCGTTAACTTAAGCTACAAATAATTATTATGCATTCATTATTAGTAGGTGTCAAGACAATTACTTTGTACTACAGACGTTCTCTTTATTTTTCAGTATAATTGGAAACCAAAGCTTGGATACATTGAAAAGGGTGGACATTTTACAGAAAGTACCAGAATACATGGAGATAACTACATTAGGAAATCTTAAAACCGTTGCTAACGCAAAAAACTCTTACATTGAAATAAGAAACAAAAAAACTCAATATCACATCGGCGATACAATAGAAATCTATGTCCAGCTTCGTGACTCACGCAATGAGGCTATCACCAAAGGCGGAGATGTTTTACGTATATGGATGACAGAAAAATCATTAAATGCCAGTACAGGAGGTTATGTTATCGATTTCAACAACGGTTCATTCCTGGGAATCGTCAAGGCACTCTGGGTCGGTTCCCCTAAGATCACAATAGCAATCGGTTGTACGAAAGAGCACATAGGACTATATCTCAATTTTCTTGAGAAATATGGAACTTATTTTTTTGTAATTGGTATATTTGAGAAAGAAAATCACCCTGGAAACGCTGAAACACAATGTACGTCAATCCCTAATTCACAACTTTTCACGGGAAAGGTCTGTAACTTTACAGCCGAAAATTACAACATGTCTTTCTATTGTGAAAAACCAAAGGGATATGAGTGCAAAGATTGGACAAAATTCCGGTATTTCAACGAGCAGCCTTCTGTGGATAAAGCTACTTCTGTCTTCTTCAGGTAAAATGTAACAGTTGATAAGTAACTAGTCATGTATAACAAAGAAAAACATTTATTTTTTATTTTTTATTTTTATTATTTTTCATGAGTGTTTTTTACATATACAACAAATAGCACGTTCTCTCACACTCACATCTTCACGTTTTAAAATAACACTGTCATCATCCTTCACCTGATTTCATCATAATCATCATCATCATCCATAATATATGAATATCATCATACATCCTACTCTTACATCATCTTCATCACATTACTGTCATCATCATCGATAGCGACATATTTTCGTTGTCATCATCCTCATTAAACAGTATCATCAACTTATGATCATCATCATCATACATCATCATCTTACCTCCTCATAAACAATACATCATCATCATCCACACTATATGATTATCATTATGATCATATACCATCATCTCTAATTTTTAATCTTTATTTTTATATTTCACAAGGTACATAAAAGACTTTGACTTAATTTGACTTTAAAAAGAAAAGAGAAATAATTTGATAACTCGAGTATTTTCTGGGTCTCGAACTCACAACTTACGGCACCACATCGCCTATCCGGATAATGAAAATTGCCATCCTTCGTCACAGAAAAACAGGATGTAGTATAACTTATATTTATATAAGATAACTACGGTAATCTAGTGGTAGTACGTCGGGCTCGTGACCTAAGGGTTGCGGGTTCGAGTCACGTCACGGCACTGTGTTGTATCTTTGATCAAGATACTTTACTTCGCTTGTTACAGTCTACTCAGCTGTACATGAGCACCTGGTTGGGTAGTGCTAGAGTTGTTGAATGCTAGCTGTTGTTCGAATTGCTTCCTTGTCCAATTTTCCCATTTAAAGTACTTTGTATCCTTCAAAAGCAGTTGTGAGATTTAGCTGTTGACTTCTCTGACCCATATACTATAACGTATATGTGTAAGTATGTTTCACGAGAGTTTCGAAAGTATTATTCCCCCTCGTGACATTATTTTTGTAATTAACTATTTTTTTGTTTTTAAAACATTTTGTAATCTAATGCTTTGAAAAATTAAATATGTTGATAATGAACAGAATAATCATAGTTTATAAGCGTAAAAGTAACTTTCCACAACAATCTGTTTTTTCTTAGTATGGATTTGATAGCAATACAAATTAAAAAATTATGACATACGGAAAAGAACGTTTATGAGCTGTGTAATCTATGTTCAGAGATGCAATTTCGAAAAAGATAAGTTTTTTATAACGCAACTCATTGACCTTCTGTCTATTTATGTATGGTGTCTGAATTTGGAAATTGAATTAGAGCAAATTCGCTTTTATATTGAAATTTCAAGAGAACACTTATTTCAGTATTTCTGGATTTCAATATGTCATAATGTCTGTTTTTGATTAAAAGATAAAATCTGATATCAGAACTAACAATACAAAAATTGTCATTTTATTCACATATCCATAACTGCAGATATTAGTATAATTTACATATTTCTTTTATTAACTTTCAGTACGAACGTGTATACAAAAATTAAAGAAGTCACAGTCAAGATTGGAGAAGGTAAACTATTATTTAATATATGTATGGTCATATTTTGTCAATATACCTTTAAAATATCATTGTTAGTTTAACATTTTATTTATCTATTTCATAATTTGAATGATCATAAGATTTCCAAGAGATACAGTGCTAAACATGTGTATTGTGACTCTTTGTTGTCTTACAAGATATTTGCGGCAATACAACTATTTTACGATCGAGGAGGATACTTCATATCATTGAGTGGTTGACGTTTTTGTTACAGACTTTCTCAGACGTCGAAAAGTCTTATCCCCAGTCAAGACCTGCAGCGATTTCCAAGCATCTGAAACATGGAACCGAAGTGTACCGGTTGGATATATGTACGACAACAAATGGATCTCACTTCAGTGTTCCATTGACTTTCCAAGAACTACACAGGCCTATACAAGATGCCTTACAAAAATACCACTTATATATATTGGCGATTCCACAACAAGGATATTTTTTGTAAATATGATGAACTTCCTTAGCCTGAAGCTGGATACTCCTGAAGTGAAAGATATGAAAGAGAAATCATGGCAGAGGCCTGTGCGTGCCTCGTCCCAAGACGGCGAGATTACTATTGAATGGATGCCTCACGAACATCCATTCGCAAGTTCAGGATTTAGAAGAAATTTACGTTCTGTATCCGCTCGTCTTAGTGAAATAGGAAGCAACCGTGATGTTATCATTTTAATACATTGGTACCTTCACCCTGCTAGATATCTCAGTCCTGAGCTTTACCGGCATCACGTGAAGAATGCAGTGGTAGCCATTAAAAGTCTATTACAGCGTTCACCGAATGCCAAGATATTAATCAAAGGGCCACATTCCCATACGTACGCGCGTACACTTGTTCCGTATGACTTTGTGGCAAAGAGCATGGAGCAAGTAATATACGAAGAATTTAAGGACATACATAATTCAGTATATTACGTAGATTACTGGGACATAACACTAGGCACAGAGAATGTGAACGCCCACCCACCAGACTATGTGAATAACATCATGATTCACAACTTTTTGTCATTTGTGTGCAATACTTAAGAAACTACTTTTTCGTAACGAGTAAGATCTTAACCTCCATATACGTGGTAATTGTATATAATGCGTTCAGTGATGCATTACCCCTTAACCGACATATTTAACAAGCTTCCAGCAGTTTGTTGAAATAGTATAATGCCATTTGTCTGATACATGTTATATGTATATCATCGATAACCAAACCTAACTGGAGGCTAAAATCCCAAAGTCAATATAACAAAACAAGTGTGGTAAAGAAATCCTATGAATTATTTTTAATTATGCTATTCGATGTTGAGGTAATCTAGCGATGAAATCGATGTACAAACCCCTTTATGTAGAAAACTTGATTTTATCATTATTTAAGCTGTATTGCTAACATACTTAAATACCATGCCAAAAACTCCAATCGGTCATATTATGCTGACAATGAGTAAACCAGTTGTTTCGCTCACTCTAAGTCCTGGACGTCAACCAGGGAATAACAACTGCAATTGGAAGTATATAAGTATGTCCAAGCCTGGGGATGGAACCCACTGCCTACCTCACTTTGGCGAATGTTCAACATTAACACCAAAAGTGAGGTATTGCCAAGCAAGGCATTGGCAAATAAAAGAGAAAATATAAAGACACTTAATGTTGTAATAGGGGCATTATATTTCAATTGTGGTTTCTTTAATGTCCCCTAAGCAGATGACGTAGATGAACACACCCGATTTTAAAAGCACCCCACATTAGTCGCCTCTTATGGCACGCAGTGGGATTCAGCAGGCCTATTCTTTCCCCGAGCCCACAGGATCTGCAAAATCTATTCATTGAACGTTTGGTTTACCAGCAACATCACTTAGTTAGCTAGACAGGTTCACGATTGGGTTCTTAAACTAAGTATCGATACAGATTAAGGTGTGGAAGGAGATGATGACACTGACAATGACATGTCGCCACGACATCGTTTCAGACAAGTTCCAAAGCACTCAAATGATTCTGGTATGACTGTTTAAGGATATATCGAATAACATTTTTTAAGAGTTATTTAAGTAAACAAAATATCCACACACAAATGTCACTACGCACTAACCAATTACACATCTATTTGTAGCCATGCAATGCCTTTATTGTCACTTAGAAGCCATTCGTTCTTAATTATCAGCGCTGCGCAGTTGTACATGAGGTCACATAATGCCTTTATTGTCACATAGATGTCATCCGTTTACAATTATCAGTGCTGCCCTGTTGAACATGACGTCACATACTGACTTTGAGACATCTGGGTATTTTCCGTATACAATTTTCAAAACATCGACTTTAATTTCATTATCCAAATTCCCACTGAGATAACATTATTACCTCCTCCTATTCTTACAGTATTCTTCGTACCAGGTGTGTTATTACATTCAACCCATGCAGTGTCTATTAATATTGACACTCGGGGCGAGTACCAGGTGTGTTATTACATTCAACCCATGCAATGTCTATTAATGTTGACACTCGGGGGATTACCGGGTGTGTTATTACGTTCAACCAATGCAGTGTCTATTAATATTGACGCTCGGGGCGAGTACCAGGTGTGTTATTACATTCAACCCATGCAATGTCTATTAATGTTGAAACTCGGGGGATTACCGGGTGTGTTATTACGCTCAACCAATGCAGTGTATATTAATATTGACACTCGGGGCGATTACTGGGTGCAGAGATCCGCAGTTAAACGTTATATGATAAACAGATATGTGCGAGTTTTTTGCATAATTATTATTTAAATTATGTGTTTTATTCATGCTTTTATGCAATTATGCTTACATTAAATAACTTTTTTTTTTTTTTCATTTTATCAATCGAACACGACAGTTTAACTGTCATATTGAATAAATGTTCCGTCCGTTAAATGTTTTCACAAAATCTATTAAATAATAAGTAAATTATTACGTTACCATTAATACATGCATTATTAGTTTGTGTATTATCGTAGTTATTATATATATCTGACATAGATCCCTATCCAGTGAGTGTGATCTGGCCATTTCAGAGAATTGGTTTAAGTACAATGTAACTTACAATGTGGTAGCACACTAACCTTCATTTTCTAAACTGTGTTTAAGTATTTAAGTATTTTAATGTTGGTAAGTTTATCGACAGTGTATCGGTGACATTCCAGGCTATTACGAAGTTGTCGCACGAGGTCCTAATGTTCACTTTGACATCTGTCTATGACCCCTAATTAAAGATGGCGGAACGTTTTCTGGTGCTTGCAATATCGGGAAAGGCACGGTTAGGTTAAGGAGTAGTTGTGTACCTGCTAGTTACTCAAACGTTATAGGGTCACCATGTGTAATATCAGTCGGGATGATGAATGCCTACCACATATATCCCACCTGAGCCTTCCAGGTACTCAACTGTTGATGCTTTTTCTGAGTTAGAGCGGGAAATGATTTGTTTTTGTAATGACAATACACAAGTAGCGTTAATTGGAGATTTTAATTCTAAGACGCAACAGAGACCAGATTTTATTGAACCAGACAATAGCCTTCTTGATGTACTAAATATTGATGAAAATGGGTATTTATTTGATGTAATGTATGGCTTCGAAAAATTAAATGTAATGAATATACCTCTATTGAGATACAGTCAAAGTACTTCGAGAGTGAATAATTTTGGAAACAAACTAATTGAGTTTTTTCAGCAAAACAATATTTATATTGTCAATGGTAGAATTGGAAAGGACCAGTACATAGATAAACCTACATGCAATAATTCATCAGTGATAGATTATCTTTTGGTATCTTCAGAATTATTCCGTTGTATAAATGAATTTTAAGTTTCTGACTTCGATCCTTTGCTCTCGGATGTGCATTGTCGCATTGAGTTTAATATTTGTGGGTCATCGATAAATGGCAGCAAAGTATACGATTTATCTAATACAAACATAGTAAATGATGATTATAAAAAATAGAAAAATGAATTATTTTGTAGATTTTATTATAAATGAACACAGTGAAAATAGGGATTCATTAGATAGTGTATTAGATGGATTGGTTGATACACCAACTGACCAAATCTCTCGAGCTGAAATAGATGATGTTATTCTCAAAATCAGCCATATTTTTACATCTTCCGCTTCTAATGTATTTGGTAAAAAACAAAAATGCATTAACAAGAATAGTAAAAGAAACAACAAACCATGTGATAAGTTAAGGAAATAATTCCATGTATCGAAAAAGGAATATAGCAGGGTTAAGAATGAAGTGAATAGAAAAATGTTGAAGACAAAAAGTAAACAATATGAAAAAGAAATGAATAAATGTTTCAAAAAGTGTCTTAACAGTATGGAAGATAAAATAAGAAACTCTGTTAAACGTGATCCAAAATATCTTTGGGAATGGAAATTAAAGTTAGAATGCTAATGTTTTGGCATAAATTAATAACAGGAGGAGATAAGCTATCAAGTGTTTTCTATCGCCTAATATTAAATGCAAGAAAATAATACGGCAGAATTTAAATTGCTCGGATATATAAAATCATTACTTAATAACACAGTCTTACTAATATTTGGATACACCAAAAAAACACATGTACAATGAATAGATCACTCTTCAAAAATTTGCTTAAAAAACGTTTATGTGATCAATTTATTCAAAATTGGTTCACTGCTATTGACTCTTCGTCTCGTGAACAGTTCTACTCTATCTTTAAAAACCAGTTTAATTTTAATCATATCTAGTTAAGCTTAATTCCAACAAATGTATACTTATCAGCAAATTTAGGATGTCGAACTTAAAATTACCCATTGAAACTTGTAGATGGGTTGGTATACCACGTAATAATCGTACTTGTTTGCTATGAAAAATGGTATTGGGGATGAATACCACTGTTTATTTCAATGTAGTAATGCTACGATAACTAATTACAGACATAAATACATCGCACATTACTTGTATATAAAACCAAGTTTAGCTAAAATGAGAGAAATGTTTGAAAGGTGGGGTCAACATTTGGCCCCCACTTTGATTTCTTTCATTTTTCTGCCATATTTAGATACATAAAAAGATCAATAACTGCATAAATGATTATTCATAATTACTACTAATAACTCTAATGGACCTCCTTGCATAACAACAGGTTGAGTGACGGGGGTATCCTAACAAAATGGCAGATACATGACACAGGGGGATACTATTTTGAAAATGAATTATGATAGTGTATAGTGTATACAATTACTGTTATTTTGATAATAAATATGTCATATTGGTATATATTAAGTAAGCGTAGTGATACTTTTAATTAAAAAAACATGCAAAATCTTCTCAAAATTTAAAATATAATCAAATCTGTCAACTTGCCTTAATGATAGTCTATATTTTAAACTTCTTTAAAAACTTTCCATATATATATTCTGTCTACAGAATCATTTTTATGTATAATCAAAAAGTACTTTTTTAGCATGCCAAACATGAACAATGCCCAATTTCACATAATAATGGAGATTTAATTATCAATGTTTATTGTTGTAAATACCGATACATTTTCTGTTTTTGTATCATACCAAAACACTTTATTATATTACGTTTTTCTTAAAGTTATTTGCATCAAAAATAACTCATGAATATGTATTCTGCCAAAGTAATCATTCTTCTGGAGAACTAATTAAGGTTGAGATTGTGTTATAGACAAAGATGTGCAATTATATAAAATCAATAAAACAATCTTAATAGTAAAACTATTATACACTTTAGTATACCCCCCGCAACGAAGTTAGGGGGTATACTGAAATCAGCTTTTCTGTCTGTCCGTAGAAAAAATTAGTACGGACAACTCCTTCTAAAGTAATGGACCAATTTCAACGAATGTTTCCAGATATGATAACTACTACACATTGTACCTGAAGTTGTGCATCCAAGTATTATTTTTTCATTCTAACCTTTTTTTTACAAAGTTATGGCCCTTTTTTAAAATTCCTTATCCGGACATGTCCTCAAAAATTAAAGGATCAATTTCAGGGAAAGTTTCCAGATATGATTACTACCACCTGATGTTGTTAATCCATGTATTATTTTAAATAATTATTAATGGCCCTTTGTTGAAAAATGCTTGGCCAAACAACTCCTCCAAAACTATGGGGCCAATTTCAGCGGAAGTTTACAGATATGGTATAAGCCCTCTGACATTGTGCATCCAAGAAGTATGTTTTCATTCCGTCACTTTAAAAAGATGTTTTGGCCATTTGTCGAAAAAAAACTTTTTCTGCCTCACAAAAAAGTGGGCCGATTGATGTGGGTAGTATTTTCATTTCAACCCTTTTTAAGGAATAATGGCCTTTTGTTAAAAAAATGTCTTTTCAACTCTTCCTCAATTACTAGGAGAAATTCAGCAAAACTGGTTCATCTGGGCTAACAAGATTAGGTTTGCACGAATGTTTTGGCAAGGGGAGGAGTAAAGGAAGTAATTACTGATGGGAGACTATAAATATATATGGATTGATTTGCAATGCTGTGTCTTAGTACTAAATGTAACATTTAGCTTACAGTTCTGGTTTATATAGGAGCGGGTGGTATTAGTTAACATTTGGGTTACAGATCTAGTTATTATATTATTTTGCCTATTACTCATTCATTAAACAAACTATGAAGGAATATCATTTTATATCGCTAACTATAAACAAATTAAACTCGGAAAGATTTCCTTGTCTGACCCTACTTACAAACATGTTATTTTAGCACATTTGATTTTTGTGACCTTGAATGAAAGTCATCAACTTTTACAAAACTTAAATCAATTCACATGAACAACCCACTTGCCAAATGTCAAGACCCAAGGACCTTTGGTCACGAAGAAACACAAGTTAAAGGGAAAGTGGGAAGAAAGCTATGTTTTTCATTTTGTGAATCAAAAGTGTTGTATGATAAATTTACCGGTTGTCAATGTTTTTGAAATTCCTGATGTTTAAAGATATTATTGGTAGCCAACTTTTAAGCATGCATGAAAAATAGACGCGTTTTAGAACTTTGTAGATTGACAAAAATGGAAAATTTCCCATCAGTAATGAAATTTTACATATTTTTCTACTTAAATCTTCAATAAAAAGAACAATTCTTTCTTGAAATATTGTAATATTTGGTATCACATTAACAGTTGAAATATGTTGCACACAATGATGATATAATTTTACAGTAATTGTGTCATTTAAATGCTCTAGGAGGAATTGTATTACCGCACCTTTAACACTCATACAGGTGTAAGCCAATGAGTTCCCATTTATCATAAAATGAATTCTGAAACTAACTGTTCCTGATTTAAGCTTCCTATACCCATACCTTTTTGGATTTATCTTGTTTTGAAATTCCAAACGGGGGCCGACGCTAATGTTAAATCTCCATAGGCGTTGACCCTACCTTTGTAATCGACCCTTATTATCAAGAATGAACTACTTTCTTAAAAATATAGAAAACCTATGTATTTCACGCTGATTATTGCCATACTCTTTATTGCACTTTCTATATATACAATTGCAGTTTATTCTTAAATTGTATAATTATTTTCTTTATTATCTTGATATGCTTATAATTTGCAATTAATCATTATTATTATTGAGTGAGTTACTTTAATGCGTAATTTCATATAATTATTCATATGTTACAATGAATTTAGTTACTGTATTAACCTGTCTACGTGTATGTCGTTTTGAATTTTTGACCTCTTGTTACACACACGTGTGTCAAGAGTGTAATAAAGAATCTGAAATCTGAATCCTATATCAACACTTTTCTTTGTTCTCTAAAAAGTGGGGGAACTGAGAACACCCCCTGCTACACAGTTTTATAGTGACCGTTAGGCTGTCAAGAATGGGTTTGGCTCCCAGGTAAGATAAGTTTACCTGGCCTGTGCCTGACACAGAAAAGCTGATAAACACAACGGAGTGTTAGGTATATGTTTACCTATTCTCCTTGGCTAAAAGTACATATATGTTAGCTACAGTAGAAGTCCACTGACACCTGCCGCTAAAACGTTCGGTTGTATAGTTAATGATAGTGCATCTTTATTCCTGATTGAATAACATTTTCTCTTGTCAATTTCTCGACATGAAATGTTCAAAAGGAGAATCAAACTATATTATCATGTAGAATTTTGAGATAAGGTTATAAAGAAAGAAAAAACTTAACTTAATTGTCCCTTTAATACGTGTGTTTAAGTACAAACCTGATACGAATTTTACTGAACGAATAGGTGGATGTAATCATGTAAACTCAGCGAAAACTAGTTTGAATTTATTGTAATGCGCATGGTTCGATAATTGTTAACAGGTGACATCCAGGTGACGATAAAGGAAGTGTGTGACGCATGAACAACTGGACAACACTAATAATTGTAAACGAATGACATCCATGAGATATTAAAGACAGTACAAAAACTTTATTTCACAGTCCAATTACATATTACACACAATTTTAAATTATTTAACTTTCCACTTACATAATTTCACAATATGATTTGACATAATGTAGCATTTAAAACAATCGTACATAATTTTATGTTCCACACAATCTTACATGATGTAACATTACACTCAATCCTACACAATGCAGCACTCAACACAATCCTACATAATACAACATTACACACAATCCTACACAATACAACATTACACACAATCCTACACAATACAACATTACACACAATCCTACATAATGTAACATTACACACAATCCTACATGATGTAAAATTACACTCAATCCTACATAATGCAGCACTCATCACAATCCTACATAATGCAACATTACTCCCACTCCTACATAGTGCAACATTACACACAATCCTACACAATGCAACATTACACACAATCCTACACAATACAACATTACACACAATCCTACACAATACAACATTACACACAATCATCCATAATGCAACATTACGCACAATCCTACATAATATAACATTACACACAATCCTACATAATGCAACATTACACAATCCTACATAATGCAACATTGCACACAATCCTACATAATGCAACATTACACACAATCCTACACAATGCAACATTACACACAATCTTACATAAAGCAAAGTTATACACAATCCTACACATGCAACATTACACACAATCCTTCATAATGCAACATTACACACCACCTGAATAATGCAACATTACACACAATCCTACATAATGCAACATCACAAACAGTTCTACATAATGCAGCATTACACACAATCCTACATAATGCAACATTACATACAATCCTACATAATGCAACATTACATATAATCCTACATAATGCAACATTACATACAATCCTACATAATGCAACATTACACACAACCTGAATAATGCAACATTACACACAATCCTACATAATGCAACATCACAAACAGTTCTACATAATGCAGCATTACACACAATCCTACATAATGCAACATTACACACAATCCTACATAATGCAACATTACACACAATCCTACATAATGCAGCATTACACACAGTCCTACATAATGTAAAGTCACACAGTCTTTCAGATTAACCATAAACTCTAACCTTACATAATTTAACACGACGCGCAATCTTACATAATTGAACATTACCCACAATTTCGCATAATTCAACATTACATGATCTTACATAATTTAACGTTACATGATCTTACATAATTCAACATTACATGATCTTACATAATTTAACGTTACATGATGTTACATAATTTAACGTTACGCTTTATCTAAAATAGTCAAATTTTACGTAATTTTCAATTAATAGTATTACTAACGTCATAAAAAATATACAACTTGGCAACACTATTGTTGTTTAACAGGTGACATCCAGTTGACAATAAAAGCAGTATGTTACGTAATGTACAACTGGCAACACTGACACAGAATCCATCGACATATGTTATTTACAAGGACACAAGGGCTCAAGTAGCCTTGACGCTGGTTTCTCCTATGAATCATTAACTCAAATGTCTCAAATGTGTTTCATTAAATTATATGTATTTTGATTATGTACGTCTAGAATGTTTATGCTACATGTGTTTAATTCTTTGTTTCCCGAGGATTACGAACATTTCAAAAGCTACGAGTCGCTCTCCTCACATTTAACAAACAAGACAACAATAGAGTATTTATTTTAAATATGTGAACAGAAACTGGAGGGTCAATCTGATTAAAATCATCTGTTACATGGCTCCGTTCAGATTGCTGGAGTGGTGCATGCATCCGTGAACATACCTATGTACCTAGCTAACAGGTACAGTGCGTGGCTATAAATAGACGTGTCATTTCTAAGTACGTTTGACCCGTGTGTCTTGATTGTTTGACTCCCCAAATACATATTGGAAACTCTGGTTTAGTCTATCATTAAATATCCATGCCATTCTAAGGTTTCGGACCTTGTCTGAAAAAATGCAATTACGATTTGTCATTGTTATCTAATGCATCCGAACCTTTATCTCTAATTAGAGTTTTCTTTTAAGAACCCGACCGTGCACCTATCTAACTATTTAGTCCTTGTTTATTTGGTAAAAGAATAAGTGTACTGAATCCCACTGCATGTGATATATGGTATGGTAGCAAAACAGTTGAAATGATGAAGCTTTCCCATTGATTCCAACGCTAGATTTTCCCTAACTCTGACGATTATGATAACCTTGTAGAAATCATAATAAAATATTCATAGGAAAACAGATGTTTTCAGATACAATATGAATTAGACACTTGTGTATAAACATGATGATTGGGACTGTTTTGGTATTTGAACGGTATATATGTGCATATAAGATATTCTGAATTGTATGCAAGTAACTTATCATGTATTATAGTTAGGTTTGCCTCTCAATATTATAAATATTACATGTAGTAGACAAATGGCATCATATAGTTTCATCAAACTGCTGCCGCTTGTCAAATACGTTATCTTTAAGGTAAAGTATCTCTGCACGCATTATATACAAATATACGGATGTTAAGATCAAACACGTCAAGAAATTTTTATTTATGACAAACAAATGACAAAAAGTTGTGAATCATAATGTTGTTCACATGGTCTGGTGGGTGAGGCATCACGTTTTGGTTGCCTATTGTCAAGTCCTAGTAATCTACGTAATATACTGAATTGTGGATATCCTTAAATTCTTCGTATATTACTTGTTCCATGAACTTTGCCACAAAGTCATACGGAACATGTGAATGTGGGTACGTGGTGGAATGTGGACCTTTAATTACTATCTTGGCATTCGGTGAACGCTGTAATAGACTTTTAATGGCTACCACTGCATTCTTCACGTGATGCCGGTAAAGCTCAGGACTGAGATATCTAGCAGGATGAAGGTAATAATGTATTAAAATTATAACATTGCGGTTGCTTCCTATTTTACTAAGACGTTCGGATACAGAACATAGATTTCTTCTAAACCCTGCACTTGCGAATGGATGTTCGTGAGGCATCCATTCAATACTAATCTCGCCGTCTGGGGACGAGGCATTCATAGGCGTTTGCCATGCCTTAACGACGTTCATATATTTCTCTTCAGGAGGTTCCAGCTTTAGGCTAAGGAAGTTCATCATATTTACAAAAAAAATCCGTGATGTAGAATCACCAATAGATATTAGTGTTGTTTTTGTAAGGCATTTTGTATAGGCCTGTGTAGTTCTTGGAAAGTCAATGGAACACTGAAGTGAGATCCATTTGTTTTCGTACATATACCCTACTGGTACATTTCGGTTCCATGTTTCAGCTGCTGGAAAATCGCTACAGGACTTGACAGGGGATAAGACTTTCCGACGTCTGACAAAATCTGTAACAAAAACGTTAACCGTTTAAGAATAGAAAGTATCTTGCAGGGACGGTTTTATTTTTTGTAATTTAAACAAAAATTGTTTTAACGACAACAAAAATATATGCAAGCTTTTAAACCAACATCTATATCCCAATAGTTTTATTGACAATATATCGTCATAAAGTAAGTTAAACTATACCTTCTGTAACATTGACTGTGACTTCTTTAATTATTTTGTAGACGCTCGAGCTGAAAGTAGATAAGAAGAAACAAGTGAATTATAATTCATAAATGCAGTTGTGTGATTGCAGACACATTTTTCATTTCCTGTTCCATTATCAAATTTTATTTTCTGATCAGATACAGATATCTCGATATATTGGATTCAAGAAATTATGAAATATGTGTGTGCTGGAAATGACAATATAGAAGCGAACTTGCTTACTGTTCAGACACCATACATATTTAAACATACGAAAATGAGTTTTGGTTAAAAAAAACACGCTTTTCCGTATTGCATTTCTAAATTAGATTGCATTGTTCGTTTTTCGTTTGTCCTATAATATCTAATTTGTCTGTCTATAAAATGTATGCAAAGAAAAACAAATGTTTGTGGAGTGTTAGTTTTACGCTGACAAAAAATATTTTATTAATTATCATCATAGAATACTGTAATTAATTCATGCATTAGTTTTCACGTAATAAAAACAAATAAACATTGCATTACAAACATCATTTCACGAGGCTGACTAGAACTGTCGTAACTCTCTTGCAACATATATACATGTATATATGGGTAAAAGACGTTATATTTACCATCGAATGGCATTGCCACTATATAACCCTACCAAATTCAGTTGATATTCATATAGGCTAGGAATGTCATGGACCGATTGCTGCCGTCATATTTATTATGACGTCATAATCGTTACGTTGGATTCCACTGACCCTCCATGGCGATGACTGTTCTATTCATTGAACAAGCATACACGGTACATACGTTATTTCAACTAAATCCTGAATAATGATAAATGTAATTGAATTTTTTATGAGATGAACAGATTCCAAAAATGGTAAATAAAAGTATTGAACTGCTTTTAGTCGGCATTCATAGGCAATATAAAATAAATACGATCAAATATAACAAACATGTAGGATATAACAAAAAGTGTATTTCTAGAATACGACTAATTTTAAAATGAAGTTAGGAAAGGTGGAGAAAACATAAGGTTGTCCGGTTTTCGGAGCAACCGCTCCTTTTATCTAGACAGAAAAAACGGACGCTTACATTACATTAGAACAAAACAGAATTATAATATATATTATAACAAGATATAACAAAAGTTATGTTCAAAAGCAATAATCCCCTTGGCAAACGAAAGCAGAAGGTCGAGTTTACACTCCACACACACTATCATTGGTCAGTGTAATTCTACTTTCGGCTTACGTTATCCGAGGGGAATTACGTCTTTAATATTAGTTATATCATATCCTGTTTTTCTGTGACGAAGGAAGACAAATCTATGAGCTGTGGATAGGCACTTTGGTGCCGTCCATGAAAGTCGTGAGTTCAAAACCCGGATATTGCTCGAGTTATCGTCTTCCTTCGTTGTGCATGACTAGTTACTTTGGAACTGTTAGCTTTTACCTGAAGAACGAAGCAGTTTTTCTATCCAAAGGAGGCTGTTCGCTATCATCCCGGAATATTGTCCAATCTTTGCACTCATATTCCACGGGTTTTTCACAATAGAAAGACATGTTGAAATTATCCTCTGTAAAATTACAAATAGGTCCCTTGAAAAATTGTGAATTAGGGATAGACGCACACTGTGTTTCCTTTTTTCCAGGATGACCTTCTTTTTGAAATATTCCAATTACATAAAAAAAAGTTCCATGTTTCTCGAGAAAATTGAGATATAATCCTACGTGCTCTTTCGTACAACCGATTGCTACTTTGATATTTGGGGAACCGACCCAGAGTGCCTCGACGAATCCCAGGAATGAACCATTGTTTAAATCAATAACATGACCTGCGGCACTGGCATTTAATGATTCTTCTATTATCCATATACGTAGAACATCTCCGCCTTTGGTGATAGACTTATTGCGTGAGTCACGAAGCTGGACGTAGATTTCTATTGTATCGCCGATGTGGTATTGAGTTTTTTTGTTTCTTATTTCAATGTAGGAGTTTTTTGGGTTAGCAACGGTTTTAAGATTTCCTAATGTAGTTATCTTCCTGTATTCTGGTTCTTTCTGTAAAATGTCCTCCTTTTTCACAATATCCAGTCTTTGGTATCCAGTGGTACTGGAAATAAAGACATGCTCTATAGTACTAAGTAAAAAATGTAGAAATACACGTACTCCACATTAGGAAAATAAGTCTGATGTGGATGTTTGATTGACGATATGTTTAATCTTGATGTATTGAATAGATATGATACAAATTTTATCTAGTTCCTCGGGTTTGCCGTAACCTTGATGGCCACGATCACCTTTTTTTAGTGTTTGCACGGCTCATGATATTCATTTACTCATTAATAATTTGAAATTACAAATTACCAGTATGCCTCAAATTTTTGAAATCTATAATTATCTAATGGGTTTTATGCATTTCCATCTCTTTTTTGTTTGTGTTTTAGATCCATTTGGATTTCTATCATTTTTACCCCTAGAATCATCGATGAATCCAAGAAGGACAAAACGGCTTTATGGTTCTGTGTAATTTATGGCAGGGATAGAATGTGGAGATCAGGCAGCTATTAACCCTTTAACCAGTGTACACCACAATGGACTCATCCAGATCAATGCTTGGTTGAGTTTATTAAAATTACATAGGGGAAAGAGGGTTAAACTTTATAAAAGCCATTTGAACTGAGAGTAATTTAGGAATGTTTGCACCAAAGCTAAAACTGGAAATAAATACCACATGTACATTGTCCTTAAAAAACTACTATGTTTAGTACAAACTTATCTCTTATCATGATCATGACTTATACGATGGTCGTTTTTCAGCACAAGCTTTTCTTTTTTAGATTCAAAAGTATGCTTAGATACAAAATGTAATGCAGGTATTTTTCGAATTGATGTCATTCTACCACAAATTATCGCACAGAATTATCTTCTACGTAAATAAAGCTAAACATGAAGTATTCGGGTACACCTATCAAATGTAAGGAGATCAAAAGATCTAAAATTAGAAGTTTGGATCTTGGAGTATGACTGTAATTGAAAAAGAAAATCTGAGAATATTAAACAAGAGGCCCAGTGGGCCTGAATCGCTCACCTGGTATTAATCTCACACTCGTAATCTTAAACGTAGACTAATATAGAGCTACAGGAATGATATCTGTGTTCGATTAATTATAATCTATTAAATTATTTTAACATGGCACGCCTGTGCCCTTGAAACTCGAACAATGACATTAAGTTGAACAAAGTGAATAGCCTTCCGCCCAAGCATGCTTCTGGTCAAATATCATTACCCTGGAGCTTTTGAATATTCAGAATAAGTCATTCAAAGATTTAAACATATTTGATCGCTGTGACCTTGAATATGAGGGAACTTCATTCATTTGAACAAACTTGGTAGCCCCTCATCCCCGCATGTTACTGGTCAAATATCATTACCCTGGACCTTTGAATATTCAGAATAAGTCATTCAAAGATTTAAACATATTTGATCGCTGTGACCTTGAATATGAGGGAACTTCATTCATTTGAACAAACTTGGTAGCCCTTCATCCCGCATGTTACTGGTCAAATATAATTATTCTAGGCCTCTTGGTTATTTAGGAGATGTTGTTTAAAGGTTTTAATCATATNCATTATTCTATGCCTCTTGGTTATTTAGGAGATGTTGTTTAAAGGTTTTAATCATATTTGACCCCTGTGACATTGAAAATGGGTGAAGGTCATTTTTGTTAACAAACTTGGTAGCCCCTCATCCCCGCATGTTACTGGCCAAATATCATCACCCCAGGCCTCTTGGTTATTCAGAAGAAGTCGCTCAAAGATTTTAACATATTTGACCCCTGTGACCTTGAAATTGGATGCAGGTCATGCATTTGAACAAACTTGGTAGCCCTTGGTTTAATGTAAAAAGTTGACGCCGGACAGGCGGACGACGGACGCCGCACCATGGCATAAGCTCACTTGCCCTTCGGGCATGAGTGAACCATTTTAAAATAATCACATACAGTATGTATTCTTACTTACTTGTGTCTGGCATCGTTCGGCATTTGTCCAGAATACGTAGATAAATGTAAGTCAATGAATCCGAGACTTCTCAATCTGAATGAGTAGAAAAAGAAACAAATCTATAAATATCCGACAAATAACAAGAAATTTCCTATTCAATTTCACCCATGTAATTTATTTGTACAGTGTATCAGTTTATATTTTATTTAAGCTTACATTTATATAACACATTTTCATTAATCTTTTCATGAAATAAATAAATTAAATAACATCAAGGGCGCGGTACAAATTTGGCTACCTTTGATCAAAGCAAGTGGTAAGGCCGTGATGGTTACCAACGGGAATGAACCGGTTTTTGGATGCTGATTTGACCACCAGATTAGTGGAAAATATAGTAAGAAAAAAGGAATAACGAAAGTTATATAACGAAAGTTGTATAGTGGTCATTATAGTGTGACAGTCTGAAAATTGGTGTCTTCATAGTGAGGAAAAAGATTATTGGACGATATAGGGAGGGGGTAGGACTATTAACAGCTGGATAGTTGGACAACCGAATAAATGGTAGCTTTATTGTGGTGACAACCAGATTAGTGGTGGCTTTATACTGGGGAGTAAAAAAAGGACTATTGGACGATAAAATAGGAATAATAATAGGACAATTAACAGCTGTATAGGGGGACAGCCCTATAAGTGGTGACTGGAAAGAAAGACAGCCGGATTAGTGGTGGCTGTATAGTGGGACATCCAGATTAGTATAAGTTGTGAAGTGGGACATTAGGATCAGTGGTAGCTGTATAGTAGGTCAACCAGATTAGCGGTGGCTGAAAAGTAGGAAAGCTGGATAAATGGTGGCTGTATAGAGGGACAGTCGGATAAGTGGTGTCTATAAGAGGGACAGTCGTATAAGAGTGGCTGTATAGAGGGACAGTCGGATAAGTGGTGTCTATATAGAGGGACAGTCGTATAAGAGTGGCTGTATAGAGGGACAGTCGGATAAGGGTGGCTGTATAGAGGGACAGTCGGATAAGGGTGGCTGTATAGAGGGACAGTCGGATAAGAGTGGCTGTATAGAGACAGTAGGATAAGGGTGGCTGTATAGAGGGACAGTCGGATAAGTGGTGTCTATAAAGAGGGACAGTCGTATAAGAGTGGCTGTATAGAGGTACAGTCGGATAAGGGTGGCTGTATAGAGGGGCAGTCGGATAAGGGTGGCTGTATAGAGACAGTAGGATAAGGGGTGTCTGCATAGAGGGACAGTAGGATAAGTGGTGTCTGTATAGAGTGACGGTAGGATAAGAGTGGCTGTATAGAGGGACGACGGTAGGATAAGAGTGGCTGTATAGAGACAGTAGGATAAGTGGTGACTGCATAGAGGGACGGTAGGATAAGTGGTGTATGTATAGAGACAGTAGGATAAGGGTGTCTGTATAGAGACAGTAGGATAAGTGGGGTCTGTATAGAGACAGTAGGATAAGTGGTGTCTGTATAGAGTGACGGTAGGATAAGAGTGGCTGTATAGAGACAGTAGGATAAGGGTGGCTGTATAGAGGGACAGTCGGATGAGGGCGGCTGTATAGAGACAGTAGGATAAGTGGTGACTGCATAGAGGGACGGTAGGATAAGTGGTGTATGTATAGAGACAGTAGGATAAGGGTGTCTGTATAGAGACAGTAGGATAAGAGTGGCTGTATAGAGACAGTAGGATAAGGGTGGCTGTATAGAGTGACGGTAGGATAAGTGGTGTCTGCATAGAGGGACGGTAGGATAAGTGGTGTCTGTATAGAGACAGTAGGATAAGGGTGTCTGTATAGAGACAGTAGGATAAGTGGGGTCTGTATAGAGACAGTAGGATAAGTGGTGTCTGCATAGAGGGACGGTAGGATAAGTGGTGTCTGCATAGAGGGACGGTAGGATAAGAGTGGCTGTATAGAGACAGTAGGATAAGTGGTGTCTGTATAGAGTGACGGTAGGATAAGAGTGGCTGTATAGAGACAGTAGGATAAGTGGTGTCTGCATAGAGGGACAGACGGGTAAGAGTGGCTGTATAGAGTGACGGTAGGATAAGTGGTGTCTGTATAGAGACAGTAGGATAAGGGTGGCTGTATAGAGTGACGGTAGGATAAGTGGTGTCTGTATAGAGACAGTCGTATAAGAGTGTCTGTATAGAGGGACAGTCGGATAAGGGTGGCTGTATAGAGACAGTAGGATAAGGGTGGCTGTATAGAGTGACAGTCGGATAAGTGGTGTCTGCATAGAGGGACGGTAGGATATGGGTGGCTGTATAGAGACAGTAGGATAATAGGTGGCGTCTGTATAGAGGGACGGTATGATAAGGGTGGCTGTATTGTGACAGTAGGATAAGGGTGGCTGTATAGAGACAGTAGGATAAGTGGTGTCTGCATAGAGGGACGGTAGGATAAGAGTGGCTGTATAGAGACAGTAGGATAATAGGTGGCGTCTGTATAGAGGGACGGTATGATAAGGGTGGCTGGATTGTGACAGTAGGATAAGGGTGGCTGTAGAGAGACAGTAGGATAAGTGGTGTCTGTATAGAGACAGAAGGATAAGTTGTGTCTATATAGAGGGACAGTCGGATAAGGGGGGCTGTATAGAGGGACAGTCGGATAAGGGGGGCTGTATAGAGGGACAGTCGGATAAGTGGTGTCTATATAGAGGGACAGTCGTATAAGAGTGGCTGTATAGAGGGACCGTAAGATAAGTGGTGTCTGTATAGAGACAGTAGGATAAGGGTGGCTGTAGAGAGACAGTAGGATAAGTGGTGTCTGCATAGAGGGACAGTAGGATAAGTGGTGTCTGCATAGAGGGACGGGAGGATATGGGTGGCTGTATAGAGACAGTAGTATAATAGGTGGCGTCTGTATAGAGGGACGTTATGATAAGGGGGGCTGTATTGTGACAGTAGGATAAGGGGGGCTGTATAGAGACAGTAGGATAAGTGGTGTCTGCATAGAGGGACGGTAGGATAAGAGTGGCTGTATAGAGGGACAGTAAGATAAGTGGTGTCTGTACAGAGTGACAGTCGGAAAAGTGGTGTTTGTATAGAGACAGTAGGATAAGAGTGGCTGTATAGAGGGACAGTAAGATAAGTGGTGTCTGTATAGAGTGACAGTCGGAAAGTGGCGTTTATATAGAGACAGTAGGATAAGAATAGCTGTATAGAGGGACAGTAAGATAAGTGGTGGCTGTATAGAGACAGTAGGATAAGTGGTGTTTGTTTCTATCCTCTGTATAGAGGAACAGTCGGATAAGGGGTGTTTGTTTAGAGAGATAGTCAGATAAGGGGTTTCTGTATAGAAGGACAGTCGGATAAGTGATGTCTGTAGTTATCGCACCTCGGACAAAAATGTCCAAAAGTCATTGGTTTAGAGCCGTCACGTGGTGACCCTCTAATTTTCTATAGAGGGTCAGTAGGATTTCATTATAGGGCAATATGGCCGCCCATTGCCCACCGCTTCAAAACTAAAACAACAGATACGGGTACCTGAATATTCTAAAAATGATACAATGCTCACCGTAATTCCTATTCGCTACATTGTATCGTAAGATGATAGAAGTTGCCTCAACTACGCCAGGCAAAAATAGTAAGACGTTGTCGCCAGCGACCGTCTTAAGTGGTGTCTGTATAGAGGGATAGTCGGATAAGGGTGGCTGTATAGAGGGACAGTCGGATAAGTGGTGTCTATATAGAGGGACAGTCGTATTATAGTGGCTGTATAGAGGGACAGTCGGATAAGTGGTGTCTATATAGAGGGGCAGTCGTATTATAGTGGCTGTATAGAGGGACAGTCGGATAAGGGGTGTCTGTATAGAGGGGCAGTCGGATAAGTAGTGTCTGTATAAGGGGACGGTAGGATAAGTGGTGTCTATATAGAGGAATAGTCGGATAAGTGTGGCTGTATAGAGGGACAGTCGGACAAGGGTGGCTGTATAGAAGGGCAGTCGGATAAGTAGTGTCTGTATAAGGGGACGGTAGGATAAGTGGTGTCTATATAGAGGGATAGTAGGATAAGGGTGGCTGTATAGAGACAGTCGGATTATAGGTGGCGTTTGTATAGAGGGACGGTATGATAAGGGTGACTGTATAGAGACATTAGGATAAGGAGTGTATGTAAAGAGGGACAGTCGGATAAGGGATGACAACCGGATGAGTTGAATATATAGTAGAAAATTAGGATTAAGAGCTGTACAGCGGGACAACCGGATTTGTTGAGGCTACATATTGGGCATTTCAATTAGGGGAGACTTTATATAGGGACAACCAGATTGTAGTGGAGGATGTTTAAATAGACAGCTGGAATATTAGAGGTTGTATAATGGGGCAGATTGATTGGTGAAAATCGTATTATGGAACTACCAGATAATTTGATGTTTTATAGAGCTGTACAGCGGGACAACCGGATTATCGGTTGTTTTATAGTGGGACTACAACTAATGGAGACAGTATTATGGGACAACCGGATTATCGGTTGATTTATAATGGGACTACAACTATTACTATTCCTCATCGATTTTACAGCGTGTCTGATTGGTTTAGACACATCACATGACATGGCTACAAAACATCAGGTATCCCTTACGTGACCATTTCCCCTGTCGAGTATCCCTCTCGGAACTCCTCGCACATTATCGGACGAGTTGTCTCTCCCTGTTATACTCTCTAACGCCCGATGTGTTCCGGACGACACACAAACATGAACAATACCTACGTACGGGAGATTCAACCTCCCAACAGCTAAATAATTTGAAGGGATAAATCAAAACACAAAATCGAACAGGTCAGTCACAACAGTGACAACACAGGGGCTCGTTGCATTGCCTAATATTAATGTATTTCGCCCTCGGGAAACATGATTTATTTCGGGGAAATAACACTTAAGGTCTCCCTAACACCAGTACAATAAGTGTATAATGGAGACAGCTAGTATAACGGGACAACCGGATTATTGGTTGTTTTATATTGGGACTACAACTAATGGAGACACTATAACGGGACAACCGGATTATCGGTAGTTTATTAGTGGGACTACAACTACTCACCGTAATTCCTATTCGCTACATTGTATCGTAAGATGATAGAAGTTGCCTCAACTACGCCAGGCAAAAATAGTAAGACGTTGTCGCCAGCGACCGTCTTAAGTGGTGTCTGTATAGAGGGACGGTAGGATAAGTGGTGTCTGTATAGAGGGATAGTCGGATAAGGGTGGCTGTATAGAGACAGTAGGATAAGTGGTGTCTGTATAGAGGGATAGTCGGATAAGGGTGGCTGTATAGAGGGACAGTCGGATAAGGGTGGCTGTATAGAGACAGTAGGATAAGTGGTGTCTGTATAGAGGGGCAGTCGGATAAGTAGTGTCTGTATAAGGGGACGGTAGGATAAGTGGTGTCTGTATAGAGGGATAGTCGGATAAGGGTGGCTGTATAGAGGGACAGTCGGATAAGTGGTGTCTGTATAGAGACAGTAGGATAAGTGGTGTCTGTATAGAGACAGTAGGATAAGTGGTGTCTGTATAGAGACAGTAGGATAAGAGTGGCTGTATAGAGGGACAGGAAGATAAGTGGTGTCTGTATAGAGACAGTAGGATAAGAGTGGCTGTATAGAGGGACAGTAAGATAAGTGGTGGCTGTATAGAGACAGTAGGATAAGTGGTGTCTGTATAGAGACAGTAGGATAAGAGTGGCTGTATAGAGGGACAGGAAGATAAGTGGTGTCTGTATAGAGGGGCAGTCGGATAAGTAGTGTCTGTATAAGGGGACGGTAGGATAAGTGGTGTCTGTATAGAGACAGTAGGATAAGTGGTGTCTGTATAGAGGGACGGTAGGATAAGTGGTGTCTATAAGTGTATAATGGAGACAGCTAGTATAACGGGACAACCGGATTATCGGTTGTTTTAAAGTGGGTCTACAACTAATGGAGACAGTATAACAGGACAACCGGATTATCGGTTGTTTATTAGTGGGACTACAACTAACGGAGACAGTATAAGGGGACAACCGGATTATCGGTTGTTTATTAGTGGGACTACAACTCACGGAGACAGTGTAACGGGACAACCGGATTATCGGTTGTTTTATAGTGAGACTACAACTAATGGAGACAGTATAAGGGGACAACCGGATTATCGGTTGTTTTATAGTGGGATAGCCTGATAAGTGGGGTTTGTAGATCACAACAGTTAGATACTATATAGATTGATCAACATGGTTGTACTGTACATGCATTCAAACTACAATTAATGGCAAATCAGCCGAACTCTAATTGGCCTATTGGGTTGTCTGTGTAAAGCCATGCATGCAGAGACATGTAGATGGAATTGGATTTGACACTTAAAGATGTATTGTTTAAAGCAAACACCAAAAAATACATTCAAGTCACATATAAATTTCCATATTCCCAGTATGTGCATACAGAGCCTAGTGATACATAATTTTACCTACTTTTTCAAGAGTGTAACGTTATACAATGTACATTGTAAAAGACCCTAGGGAATAACTACGAAGGTATAAAACTGCATGCCATATTTATGTCTTAGCGTATTGACTTTTGCCATTATATATAGACAGTTTTGTCAATATATATTGATAGTTTGGTAAAAAAAAAGTAATCAAAAGTATGTACTTACGTTACCAGAACCAGCACACTGATAATCAAGGCAACGAAGACCTTCAGTTTGGTTGTGGGTGGCTGGGACATATTGCTACTGTATGTCTGTATCACGCCTAGTCGAAAGTTGTAATCAAGATGTTTCACTTGTACCACATTACAATCCTTGCTACAGAGGCGAGGTTTCTGGAAAATAAGATTCAATGCAACATTTAAAAAAACCTTAATGCCATGATTTTTTTTTAATATTCTTTTTTAGATAGCAACTTAATGTAGACTATATCCATAACAATAAAACGTTAATCTAACATGTAAAAAAATAAAATTAAAAAATCGAGGATAGTTAATGGTTTCCAATCTATTACACCTGTAACAAAACGAAATCGGGTTATCTCAGTCGAGGGTTAAGATTCTGTAACAAAATCCCAACTGAGGCGTAAGCCGAGGTTGGGATGTTACAGAAACTTAGCCCGAGACTGAGATAACCCAATCTTGCTCAGTTACAAGTAATTGAGTTTTTTTTCTCGCACCTTTTAGTTCGAAAAAAATATTATTTTGCTAAACACTACAAGTATCCCGCCTTGGGCACAAAATGACAATGACCTCTGTACTACTTTAGCTACATTTGAATGCTTCCGCGTAAAAATGTGTCCGTCCTTACATAGATCACGACGTATTTCACAGTGTAGATTATAAGGGTGGCTGTATAGAGACAGTAGGATAAGTGGTGTCTGTATAGAGGGACGGTAGGATAAGTGGTGTCTGTATAGAGGGATGGTAGGATAAGTGGTGTCTATATAGAGGGACAGTCGTATAAGAGTGGCTGTATAGAGACAGTAGGATAAGTGGTGTCTGTATAGAGGGACGGTAGGATAAGTGGTGTCTGCATAGAGGGATGGTAGGATAAGGGTGGCTGTATAGAGTGACAGTCGGATAAGGGTGGCTGTATAGAGACAGTAGGATAAGGGTGGCTGTATAGAGGGACAGTCNAAAATTGTCAATTTCAAGCAGGTAACACGCGGATGAATACATCGCAGTTTAAAAATTCCGCGAAATGTCCCGTAAAGGTGCAAAACAATGATCGGCCGAGATTGAAAAATCTAGCATGGGGTATGACGTTGGATAATTCTGTCTTGGGTGCTCTTAAACTCTTAATACAAATATGACATTTCTCTAAATATTACAAGGAGCACATGTTGCAAACACTTCTGGCTACTCAAGAACTAAAGCTCAGCGTCCGTGTTTCGTTATCATAAACTAAAAACTCAGCCTAGCGCCTCAAGCTGAGGCCAAAAAGCCTCGAACTCAAGCTCGCAAACGAGGCTGTTTGCAATAAATTAACAGGCTTGGCGAACAATTATAATGACAAGAAAATATTTTTACAATATTTATTTTTCACAATCATCCAAAATATTGGAGACACACAATCTTTACTAGACAAATGTCCAGATAAACCATATATTTGGCAATTTATAAGCCATTTGTTGAAAATACAGTTGTTTGAATAAGCCGTGAAACGAATTGACTCGGGTCCGAATACGGTACTGTGATGCTTCTTCCCGTTAAAATTCAAATACCTGATTTGGAATGAATCAATGATGCCGAATCTGTGATAATATAAATAATCTATGTGTTATAGTTTCCAACCAAAGGTCTTTAAATGAAAACTGAGTATGTGATCTTTTCAAATGGTGTATTTTCATGGTGTTTTACTTTTTGTAGGACGATATATCGTGGCTTGGTTGTGTCCAAGTCGGACAGACTTTGCGCTTTGCTCCGAGATGATGTTACAATCTAGACAATCTTTCGGTAAAATAACAGATATTTGAATGTGATGACATGCAGTTCTGGGTATAATGAGTAATTTGTTTCCGTAATTCACACATAACAGTATAGATTTCATTCTGAAAAATAACAAAAACGATGCAAATACCTTGTCTAAAGATCGTCGTCTGCTGATCGTAAGAAGCGCCTATAGCCTACTGACCATGATCAGTAATAGGGTCTACTATTTGCATTGCGGGACTTGATTAATACACCAGACAGCGGCCTATCGTTATGTAAACTGTATCTTAATTATTAGTAATATATGCTATTTTATACCAAGGTATATACAATACCAGTTGAACAAATAAACTCAAAACATTCATATGTAAAAATAATTTCCCTTGTAAATCATGGTTTCAATTGATAACACTGGAGCTACCACAGGGACCTGAACATTTGTTACCGCTATATTTGGACCTAACCTCAGGTGTTCAGAGTAAATAGTTCAGGTCCCAATATAGCTGTTACAAATTCTCAGGTCCCTGTTCTTTTTACCACATGACATTTACTGCATAATGTCTAACATCAATCAATCAATCAATCAACTTTATTGCATTTTACATCCAAGTTACAAGGATCGATCTGCAAACATCAAACAAACATTGCGAATACTATATAATGGACAGCAAAAAATACACCAAAAAAGTTGTATTTTAAATCCTGGTATAAAAGTAAATATAGTTAAAACACGGGTTGTCCGGATAGGCAGTCAAACTATACTAATGAGGATCAGGTACAAGTACTTCTTTCTAGGTCACACGGGAGTCTATACATTTTGATTCTTGAATTGAAACCCACACGGATTTATACAAAATGTTGAAAAACAAATTTGATAATTAACTAGTAAAATATAAAACTATCCAATAGTTCGAAAAAACAAGAGACGTGAGGGAAGCATTATTGCAAGCGAGAAGTTTTACAAAATGCCCTAGCAGTCAGAACGCTACAAGTATTTGCGTATTGCAGAGTTATCTTCTCTTGTGAGCAGGTATTGATTGTTACGTCATTGGTTTGTGTGAGAAAATTACGTCGTTTTCTCAAAAATTGATGACGTTACTCTCACAAACAAGTGACGTAACAATCAATACCTGCTCCCAAGAGAAGATAACTCTGCAATACGCAAAGACGGAATACAGCTGATTCGGAATCGAGCGCAGTGGTGTAAATGTTGTGTAGAAGTATTTAAAAGCATTTACTTGGTTTGTATGTTTGTTTGGAACACAAATGAATATATTTGTTATGTAAACGGGCATGTATTGGATTGAATTATCTATATATTTCCATAAAGTTAATGCGAAGGGAAGAGATAAGTTAGGCTACTGGTGACTTAAGACTGATTTTGCGATGGAGCCCAGCGTGGAATATTTTTGTGATGTAACTCGTGGACTACAATGGTCTAATATAATACAGATACAATGGTTGTACAGTGCGGCCATGACGTAAAACACAGAATATGCTATATCATTTCCAGGTCCATTGAATTGATATTGTTTTATTGTTTTATTCATTAAAAAGTAAATTGTATTTACACGAACAATGTAAGGATATTAAATTACGGTCCGGATATTTCTAAATCATTCATAATTAATTTACGGTCCGGATGATAATACCCGAGTAAGGACCCAAAATCGGATCACGTTATATGCACATGTACAATAACAAAAATTCTTTACAGACGTTGCTTTGTAATGCAACAGAGCGTGTAATAACGTGATACAGACGTAGAATGTATAGCCATTAAACAACAAAAAGATTAATGTTAAAAAGTCATTTATTTACATTGTAAACATAAATGGCGGATCCGACTGAGTATTGTTCCTTCTGTTTCGGACAACAGGAATAAAGTCAGACTATTGAAATACTTTTATTCACAGAAATTCCAAATATTAGGGACGAAGCATATTTATTACCGGGAAGGGACCGATTCAAAATCTTTTACTAATACAAAAGTTTAAATGACCTTTTGGCCATTAAAAAATATCGGTCTCATGCCTGCAGTTGTGTTACAAAAGTCAATGTCCCATTACACGGGGGTAGATAATTGCAATACAAAAAGTGATAAATGATCTCGGCACAATATCTGACACAATGAACTTGTACACGTATATTAATTTGCCAAACATGCTTATAGTGTGTGATGACTCAAATGACTTACACAGTGTTAGAAAAGAATGGAACAAATAAAAAGGGGAAAACAAGAATGCACGTCCCGCGTAGTCTTGAATGAAGTGGTTTAAAGACAAATCCGTAGTCATACAGTTTTAATAATAAATGTATCCATTGACTTAGATAATCTATAGATGCCCAAATACATCAATATGGTTTACAGTAATAAAAGTGGAATTACTGGGAATAAAATCTTTGTTATCAAAAAAGGTTTCAATAGAACTCCTTTTTGAGAAAATGAAGAATCAAGAAAGCGTTTTTGCTTTCTTTTTAAAAAGCAATCGTTGTTTGATCCGAGTTGAGTTCCTAAATTTAAGTGTGTGTGAAAGTGTGACGTCGACTAGTTATGTCCCCTTTTTTAGACTGTCACGGGGAATAACTTTGTCGTTTAGTATTCTGTAGCAGGTCAATGGCTCTCGCCTTCTGGCCTGTTCTATATAGGACAGTAGCTTTTGCTTTATGGTCCTAGAGAGAAGAAGAAAGTGATGTAAAGGCTTCGACGGTTTATTGTTGAGTATCTTATATAAACATTACATAATAATGTATAATACAAACATAAATATGACAATTCATCAACATCATTATTGTGTACATGTATTAATTATCATTCACCATCAAATATAACTATTAACTTTTATCCATGGAAGCTCTCTTAAATCATACATTCAATATGCTTAAAATCTCTCAGTTGTTGGCGTAATATTTCAATTCTTTTTGTGAACTTTTGATATTTTACCAAAAATAATCAATCAGCTTTATATACTCGACTTATCCTCTGCAATAGACCGGTTTATATTCTTCACAAAAGCTACGGACAAACTAGAAGGTGTCTGCTTTACTTCACCTTCGTTTCGGACTGGGTCTAATCACGAAAGGAATGTTAACCGTTATCAGATATAAGTTATGTACATGCACAAATTTTTAAAAATGTACATGTACAAGTCTTAAACATATCAGATATAAGATGTGACGGCCCAGCCATCGTAGTATACCACATTTGCTCTCGTGTTCTCTAGCTTTAATCTTTAAAAGGAACGCCTTTCTTTGTCTGCGAAAGACCACGAACAAGCTTGAACTAATCAGGACGCTAGTTTAAATCTGTACCATAGAGAAAAAGGACGACTAATCTCAATACAAACTTTTCTGTATAGATAAAAAGGCGAGGGGCGACCGAGTAAAATATTAAACTGACA